GATTTCCATCTTATTATCATCTTCAAAAGGAAAACGGAGGTTAGACTGTAAAAAGGGAATTTATGAGGTATAGATAAACATCAAACTAAATCAGTCAGACTTGGTTTGACTTTAATGACAGACTGTTACTGTATGTCAGCCTTTCAGGTGTGCAAAGGTCAATTCACTTTTAAACTGAAAGTGAAATGTGAAGGAGCCTTTACTGCAGAGCATTCTGATGTTTGTGAAAAACACATGTTATCATAAATGGCTGACGTTTGTCTGCTAAACCTATAAATAGTGTAATCCCTAGGGGGGTGGACAGCGGAAAAACCCCTCAATGAATTTTCCCGATAAAGCTGACAGCCAAAGACATTCATCATCAGATCTTTTTTTCTTTTTTTTTTTTACTAGAAATCAAACACTGACTCCCCACTTGTTGGCTCAATTTCTTCATGCTTTAAGGCAGAGTTATGTTTAGTTCTGACACTTACAAAATCATGTGACCAGTAGGGGAAGTCTTATGTAAAAGTTTAGAAGAGGCTTTAAGTAGAAACCTTTTCCTTTCTGTGTCGAAATATTTCACTGTTCAAAAGTAGATATGCTTCTATTTCTAACTAAAGACAGTGTTTATCTTTTGTTTTGCAATATTTAGGGGCTCTTGAGTAGAAACATCTTTTAAAAGTGGGCCAGCTGTGACTATATAACAGCAGGTCTTTACCTCCCCAGCAGAGGTACAATGGGAGCTCCTACGTTTAAATGACCCACAAACACATCAGACATGCACGAGGGTTGTGTCTGCATTTAAAGCAGCCATATCCCTTAGAAGTGTGCCAGAGAGCGCGAGAGAGGACAACAACAGGGATTAACGAGTGAAAAGAAGCCTCCCTCCCCTCGCTGAACACACGCACAGCACCCTGACCTTTGAAGGAAGGCAACAGATGGGTCTTTTTCTCTGGCCAGGTCCCCGCTGACAGCTGTCCAGGATGTAGGGAGGTGAGATGGGAATGGGGGTGGGTAGAAGGGTGAGTCTTGGGGGTGGGGTGGGGGAGATAGTCAGAGGTCAGACACTCCCAGAGAGAAAGAGCTGAAGCACATGCAAATTCTTATGAACTTCTAGAAAGTCAACACGCAAAGCAAAGCCAGGAGCTTGCGTGTCATCTTATGTTCATGTGGGCACATTCATATTCATAAATGTTTCTGTTTGTTTGCCTCTCTGACCCGTCATAATTTACCCCCTCTGGTTGAAATTAATCTGGGTCTCCAACACCATAATCTCCAGTTGTATGTGTTTTGTTTCTTATCTTGTCAGTTCACTTTTGCGACTCAGGATGCAAAGTACGCCGCACCATTTCCTTCTGTTCCGCCTGGACATGTCTGTGCATGTTTGAGAGAGAAATAGAGATAAAGAGAGCAGGATAGAAGTGACCCAAATCTAAGGAGGATTGAATTTAAGTTTGTGATGTGACAGTGGAAAAGTAAAGTGATAAGAGAGAAGCTGCTGGTAGACTATTCTGTAGTTTGCTATTTCAACATTTCCAGCTGGATATTTTAGTCTCATTAAGCCCAACACACTATTTGCCCTCTGAACTCAAACACACTGAGTCTTTTGGGTTAAGTTGTTAAGTTTGTTGTTTTTACTCTCCTCTTTGTTAAAACCTTTTGCAGTTTTTAAGATAAGTACCATACATGTTAACTTTGTGTTTGTATGACCATAATTTTGATAACAATAGTACGACTTTATAGCCAGTTAGATAAAAAAAAGCTTAGAAAAAACAAATAAACTTTGTAAAAAGCATAAACAACTCCATAAAGTGAACTGATACAAAGTTTAACATGCAGCTGAAATCATACAGCGGTATTTGAGAGTTTTTACTGTGCAACAGTAAAACCACAAAACAAAATTCCCCAGCTGTTAGGAACAGAAAAATACTTCCCCTGACCCAGATGCTTGATATTTTCTGCTGTGTTGTCACGGAAATGAAAATTGATCATAATAAAAAAACTGTTTGGCCAAGCGTGTACATAGTTAATCCTAAACTGGCATTTATTTTTGTTTTCACTTCTCTCCATAGAGTTATGGACTCATGATCCCACACCCTTCGCTGAACACACGAGGACCAGGCTTAAGGTTTTCCTTTGCCCAGTTTGGATTGACTATTAGAAAATATCTGGATGGACCTTTAGGAGTAGCTTTGTGAAAATGTAAGAACAACAAATGAACTCAAGTAACTACAAATGTAGGAGTACAAAGATTTGATAAATAGATTTAAAAAAACACCCTAGTTAAAGAGGTTTCTTCCTGTTAAATGGGAGTTTTTTTCTTTCCACAGGTGCCTTGTTCATGCTCAGGGTTGGGGATTGGCCTATGTGTTGGTTTTCTAAGCGAGATATTTTCATTGGCTTTGTTTTAATTGCACTAACATTAAATTTTATTTGATTTAATTATGGTCATATTAAGATTAACTCGATGCCAACTGACTTGAATCAGATTGGATGTTTGAAGTCCCAGAGATGACATTTGTTGTATTGGATTTAATTCAAGTTATTTATTCTAATTGAAGGGTACATAATAAAACAGCTACGCTGAGTGAGAAATAAAAAGCACTAGAAAAGGCTAGAACACTCATATCAGCTGACCAACCACTGATAACGCTTTCTAGAGAAAAAGGGAGAAACTGTAACAGGCAATATATCAACATTGCCACTGTTGTGGAGGAGCTGCAGTCTCCACGTTTGAAATTGCTTCAGATAAAAGTTAATGATGTGCAACAGGAGCTGAGAGAGATAGAGGACGGATTCTGTCAAGTGGTTTTGATTTGTATTTCAGTGTGTACCTTTAGTTGACTGCTGCAAGTACATCTTATCATAGTCTTTTGAGAAGACTTAAAAATGTAACAAATACCCTGTTCTAACTGAAAGACTTCTGGGCATGTGTTTAATCATCCCAAATCATGGTTGTACACAGTTAATAATGGATTAATAACAAATAAATCAGAACAAAGTGTTTCACCGCGGTAATGTTTCATTTGACCATGAGGGACAAAGTTATTTTTGTCAGTTGGTTTATCTGCTGTGATTTACTGAGGTCTGTGGAAAAAGAACCTCACACTGATTGCCTTCATTTTGTGTTAACCCCTTTTGTTATACCCTGCCTTGATATCAGTATCAGCCCAAGCTTGTGCGCCCACACAGAATCAGAGATAAATTGGGTACATGTCATGGTTAGTGTTCCCTCTGAAGATTATGGTGACACAGATAGCAAAGTAAAGTCATGTCTGCATATATTTTTGTACATATGTATAGTACATTGTAAGGAAGCTAGGATTGGCTCCAATCCCCCCATGGACCTTTCTAGGAATAAACGGTAGGGACTATGGATGGATGGATGGACATTGGAAGGAGACAGTAATCACACATAAAAAAGGTGGAGAGAAGATGAATTGATACTAAAGGAAAAAATTACAGTGAATAGTTAGAGGGACCAAAAACACAAAATGATTCTGTAATTTAATACCCCTCCTAAGCTCTGAACAGCTGTTGTACAAATGCAAAGAGAACATGCACTGCACACATAAGCCCTGGACACCACAGGCAATGGACCAAGAGATTTTTTTCCCACATTCTTCACTGAAATTGTGAATACAATTCTGCAGCATTAAAGCTCAATACAACATATGTGGGTACAGCCCTATAAATATCTATTAACGCCAAAAGAATAATCCTCCTCTTAGAAATGGCACTATTACTAGGTTGAACAGCAGGGTATTTGCCTTTGTGAAAAACTAAACATTAACAGTTTTGATTTGTTAGAATGAAAAACAGGATTTTAATGCATGGAAGTTAATGTTTTAGTCCTATGAGTCATATTTAAGAATTGTCAAGTGTTTTTTTTTTTACTTCTTTGCAGACATGCTCAACCCTTCTGGTAGAATCACAAATATTGTTATCATTTTTCTTGAAACTATCCCCAAAGGCTTACCATAGGTTTCAAAACAGGCAACATACTTACATTTCCTTCATGGTCTAAATGATATTTCTTTCTTATTTTAAAATGGTGTGCTTTTAATGATCCTCTTGCCAGAATATTCTTTCACATGGTATAATCACACATCATATCTTATCCTATCCTATGATATATCCTAACATTTTCTGTCACGTCACTTTCAAGAGCCACACAGAGGAACTCAATTCACTTCTGTTTTATTTTCAGTATTGTAATTAAGTCAATATCACTTGTTGAGCTGGCCTTTAACTCAGCCACAACATTTAAAGTTTCAGCTTTCATTTTAAGGTTAATGTATAACATGTATGACATGCATATAAGTGCAAACATTTTGCAACATAAGGTAAAAGGTTGACACACATAAAAAGACAAAGACTATATTGTGAACTGCTCAGACATAACAGCTGGGTTAGTAGTGCATCAACACATTCCTCTGCCTCTTCCCCCTCCCCTATCTTGTCCTCTTAGGCAGACATAGTAAGAGGACAGGTGTGAGCCCCTTTGCCTCCGCATATGCACACAGCCGGGCCTGGGATTTCAGTCATGTCATTCAGTGCGGCTGAATAGGAGTCAGCAGGGGCCCCGCTCTGTTCAGCGCCCCCGGTTGACAGACGCACAGCCGTGTTTTTGTGCTGAGCCGAGGGGCCCCCATCAGTCAGCGGAGGGGATGAGATAGAGGAGGAGAGGGTTAGCGGGTGCTTAGGGAGTAGGGGTTGCTCGGACAATGTGCAGAGCGTGCAGTCACTCAATGAAGACAAGAGGAATAAGAGAAAGGGGGAGGCCGACTGGATCCCATTTTGACGGTTTCCAAGGTTGCAGTTGTGGCAGTTGTTGAGGCTTAAGGTCATGTGTCAAGTCAGTGTTCGCTGCTTTCGTCATAGCAGGTGGAGTTTTTGTTTGGGCTACGTCCCTCCCCAAACTTGATCTCTCTTTATGATATGCATTCTCTGTTTAAAACGTTTCAATTAATTATATGTGCATACATATACACAATAAATGCTCTCAAGTCTGTGGGTCAGGAGTGTTGGGCTACAGTTGGTCCCACCTGCTTTTGACCACTCAAAGCTACATTCCCCAAAAGCTGCAGCTCTTGCTGCTGGGTGGCTGGATTCTTTCTTTCTTTCTTTCTTGCTATAATCACATCTTCAAAGAAGAACAAAAAAAGGTCACATGAATATTAATGCATGGAACATATAACTGCTGCTGCTGCTTCCCCATTGCAGAGCTTTGGCTGGTTTCACAAATCCTTCTCCAGTTAGAGCAAACACTCATGAAGCATCAATATGTTGAGTTTTTTAACATTTGCCATTGCGCACATTCTGAGATCATGAAACAGATATTAAAGATTTCTATAAAAACTATTGAAAAAACTCTACTCGATACAGTATTTTTTCACATTAAACTATTTCATTTAATTTCTGATGAGCATAAAAAAAAAACATTCATGGTAGTTTTTTTATGGATAATATGAGTGTGATTGTGTTAGAGTTAAGTGTACTGAGAGAACTTTACAGAAGAAAAAAAACCTTTTACTTTAATATTGAGAAAAACACTCTGCTGCCACAGGGGCATTCCTCCTGAGGATGTGCACACACAGCAAGATGGACTAAATATGTGGCGTAGCTATCTGAAGCTTTTAAGCTAAAAAAAGTGAAGTTAATAATTGATATTCTACCCAAAGAAGTAGTATTGTTAAATAAGTTGATCCTGTGTAGGCAGCGACATCTCCTTGGCTCCAGGTTTTTCTTTGACTTATTCGTTTTTTTGTCATGCATTTTGCCCTTTATTTGTTTGGCCTTACATATGGAATGGAATGGAGGAGGACTTTGAGTGCTTTGATGAAGCCAAGAATTGGAGTAGAGCAGGATATAAGAAGTGAGGGAAAATAGAGCAGGTGAAAATGGTGACAGCAGGAGAATAAATACATGGATGGACAAGGGAGAGGAGATATGGGCAGGATAGAGAGATAGAGTTGATGAAGGAAGGAAAGTGATAGAAAATGGTGCAGCGTGGCCTCTCATTTTTATTCACAGAAGTAGTACCGCTGGGAACTCCCTGCCTGTGTCTGAAGTCACAGCTGGCTGGCTGGCCGTGTCCGATGGCCAATAAATCATACTGTATGTCTCTCAGGTGTGGCCGGCTCTTCCCGGGAATAACTCCTCTTTGCTGAATGATACACGCTGGCATATTGTCCTACTTCATCACTCATATGTCCATTGTTCTTTAAACAAGGCTGCTTAAACTGTTTTCAGTGCTGTCAACCATTCAGGGTTACACAAGACAACTTTCATGAATAAAAATTTATTTAACCCATTACAGGGAAATGCTGACCTCAGTTCAGTCTGATGTATAAAAATGCTCTATATTCTATCACCAAGGCAGGAGAATGAGATGGTACAAAAGTGATCTTTTGGAATATCTGTAAAATTAGCTAAAAGGGTTTTCTATGCATCAGTATCTTCTCATTTAGAAATGCCAGGAAACTATTCCACCTCCTCACTTAAGCCTGCTGAGACACACTGCTGTATAGATGCAAGGTAGGCATGCTGACATTCATGAATCACTCTAACCTAATTTCGTGCCTACGTAGATCCACTCTGACAAGAGATGCATGATGCACTTGATCTGGAGTCCTCAGGGATTACATATCTGCTTCTCTCACAAGCTATTGATCCAGGTGGGGATTTTTAGTTTTTGCCCCACTATCATGAAACTGCACAGTACAATTAAATCAATAAACAAAACACAAGGTTCTTATGAAAGAGCCATTGTCACTACTTTTAAAATAACCAATGATGTTATACTGTATAATCCATCCATCCATCCATTATTGTTACTGCTTATTCCCTAATGGGGTCGCGGGGAGAAATGGACCCCATCCCAGTGGTCAATGGGCGAGAGGCGGGGTACACCCTGGACTGTCCAGCAGTCCATCGCAGGGCCTATACTGTATAATGTCAAAAGCTTAGCCTTTTTTGGAAGGCTATGTTATGTAGAAAGGTTTTACTCTTAGCTTGATCTGGATCATAATGTGAGAAGGCCTTAATTGGTTAAGAAGAGTGGACAATAGGGAAGAGAGTAAAACAACTGGTGCTTCAGACTAAACCAACTGTGCTACATTTGAATGTTATTAGACATTCCACACATAAAACAAAGTTGACTATACTTGTGCTTCAGCCAAGAATTCTGTCAAACAACTTGCTCTTTCTGATTCTTCCAACAGATGTGCCTCTGCCAAGTAGTCTCTGAAAACAAATTGGTTTGTTGGTCATTTGTGGGGTCACACAGGGTTTATAAATGTTATGATTTGAGTCTGAAGCTAAAATTGTTTCATAAATAAGTCTCCATGGAAACCTCTGGAATAGGATGTACAATATTTATGTCAGTTTGGGATTCTGCATGCACACTCATCCTTTTGAGCAAGTTACAGCTGCTATGGCAACTGGATCTTTTCTGGATTTTTTTTGTTAGAATTTCTGTAACACGCTTAAACATGTGTCATCATACGTTCCCAGTTACAGTTTGATTAGAGGCCTTAGAACCATACATGTCTTAATCTTTTCTGATGAGTGGATAAGAGCAGTGTCGTCTTGTCCTCTGTTTGTGTTTCCATCAGCATCTCTGAAATCCACCACAGTGACAGCATGACACTGTGGTCTGGAGGCTTTCTAAATTTAGAGTTCTGTTAGGTCAAATTGCAGGTGCACGTTGGTTCTAAGTGCAGCAATCACATAACTATACCACTAAAGTGACTAGTGATATTATGAACTGTCACCGTCCCTGAGGTAAAGACCTTCTGAAATGTTTTTTCTGTCCCTAACTTATGCATTACCCTGCCCGTTTGGATATATCTATTAATTTAGGATCAATGGAAAAGTGTTTCTAACTTCTGAATGGCACTTTATGGAAATGCAAGCTGACATGAATAGGGCACAAATATGTGTATAAAACTATTATCAATGCAAACATCCATGGGAATTACTGGAACCCCATGTTAATATGTCCTATTTTGAAACTGATCAGTTTGAAACTATTTGGGGACAAACTGTATGTCTAAAATGTCTTTGGCATCATAATCCAGTGTTAAGCAGTCACTTTTTGCAAACTCCTTCTGTCTTGTCATTCCGTGCAATGCAAGAGTCAGCATGAATCTCGAGATGAGAATGCAAAGGCCCATAGTCATTTCTGGAAAGCACATAAGAGATGGAGGGAAAGCAAGACACACAAAAACGATAAGGCAGAGATGGGAAGAAGCAGGTGGTTACTGGGAAAACATTAGAGAGACAAAATCATTTTCCCACCTCTAACAGGAGCACATATGCACATGTAAGAGCTAAATGTTAGCAATGAAACACTGGCACCACACTCATAAAATCACTCTGATAACCACAAAATCACATACATGAGGCATAAGTGGGGAAACAAGCATTTTAGATTGAACATGGATTAACACTGTGTGAGTCATCAAGACACACTCAAAGTGTGATTATGGGTTGTTGCACTGCCATGGTAACACATCCGGTGATGGACCAATGCATTTTCTGTGTCTGTGTGCAAGGTACTGTTTTAGTGGGTGGAAGGTGGCAGAAAAGCCACACTTGCTCTTAATTACACAGACAGCTCATATATTTCCAATGTGACATGAGGGCTGCAATGTGAGACATTCATTGGAAAGAAATAGCTTCTGTTAAGCCACTTGACATCCACAGTGTTTTGCAAAAATGTCAAATCGATGCTGCTTTCAAAGATTTCAAGGAGGAAAAAAATAGTGTACAGTACTTGAATGTTAGATTCTTCCTACTTTCATTTTTAGTGTGTTCAACCCCGTTTTACGGGGTTAACCGAACTGCTCACTTAAACTTTCAACGATGCTTACATTGAACAATTACCCTTTGTTTGATAAAGCAAAAAATGGAACAGCTTCATCAACATAAATAAACTCCAACATCATGATTTCCAATATACTCATGAACATAAAGAATGATTATATCATCCTCGCTCCGCCCGAGGGACAACCTATGCTCTGGTCAGTTATTATCTAATCCACGGCTGTATCCGATGAAAACAACTTCTTTGTTTTCAGCATTTGAGGTCTTAATCCACATAAACAACAACATAATTTTCCCCACAATGACGTATCTATATTGTGTATAATAGAAAACTCTGACAACGGCTAAGAAAATTAAAAGGCAAAAAAGAATTAAAGGAAGAATAAATGTGAAAAAATGAAAATGTTGGGATGCACCTGGAAATGACTCAAGTGTAAATATTTGAATTGGTCATTATTATACTATGTATAATGAAGATACATCATTCTGATTCTGATATTATACCGTGAAGATGTCATTATATTGATTTATAATTGTTACATATTACATTTGACTGACTCTTTATACAAAGCTTTTAAATGGTTGTACATTTCTTTATTGTTTTCTAATTGTTTGTGGAATTATTCCTTTTTGCCGTTTGCTGAGCTGAAGCATTTCTGTAGGTTGCAGTTGGCAAAGAAAGAGCATTATGGATGTACCGTAATAAATGTAGACATCAGAGAATGTAACTATGATATTTACATACAGTGGTAAGAAATTGTAAAAGGATCTACGAACATGTCACTTTTTATTGACAAAAATTCAGCTCTATTTGTATTATGTTTTCTGTATTATTAATTCTTTAAACATCACTAAATGCAGGTAAAACAATCATTCCTGTGGATTTTTAAAAATAATTTAATCTGTTTTGAGTGTTGTTACCTCAAACATTAGTCTTGGATTTCTGAAGCCTCTCAGAGTGAGATTGCTGGGTTTTTAGCAAGAACGTACAAAACAGCAGCGCGGAGCTTGTCACAGAGTGGTACAGACTCCATGAGTCAGCTTTAGGGTCACAGGGTTAATTTCTAACTATTCGACAGAACTGTAAATCCAAGAATTGCAGATGGACAACAAAGAATAAGAATTAACAGGGATGGCTGGCATACAAAAACTACTCTTCGGTGGAAATAATTTACCCTTTGTTTTCTTTTCATGGGAGCAGTTACCATGGCACTATAATTAACAAGAGGAAGCACTTATGTAACACAAAGCGTGTGTGTGTGTGTGTTTTGTCATGGTGTGTAGTTTTAAACTGTTGTGTTGAAAGACGCAAAATCAATGTACCTGTAAACATCCAGCCATGGGAAAATTTGAGCTTGGATCTGTCCAGTTTTCTCCTTACACGTGTAACACAACCATGAAAAAGCCAGTCCACACCAGAATGTGAAATGGCTACATTGTGCCACGAGAAAAAAATGTTGCACAAAACAAGGTCACGCTAAAATTCTGGCTGTCTCTTGTCACGTGACGTGTAAGCCATCACGCTGACATTCCACACGTTTCACTCAGGGATTTGAGTCTAAATGCAGTCTACCACCCATACCTATGTGTGAGGTCAGGGTGATAGACTGCTCTGTGAAACCGTCATACAAAGTGTTTTCACACACGCCTTTCACTTTACATCTCACCTCTCATTTGTGATTCCTCACTTTTACATTCTCTCTCTCTTTGTCTCTCTCTCTCTCTTTCTAGGATATCTGTGGTTGGAGCTAATTTCCCTGTCCAAAGGGGCAAATTCAATTAATGTTGCATGGTCATACCTCAACTGAAAATAAGTTGTGTTCCCATGTGATAACATCCAAGCAAGAGACTTCTGGAGCACTGGTCTAACTTTTTCTTGCTTTTTCCATTTTATTTTCATCCAAGGGCGGCTTTATCTAAGATGATTTACTGGTCGTCTTGGGGAATAGAAGTGGTACTAAGAGACATTTTACGTGACAGCCTCATCTGTTCAATGTAGAATAAAGATATAGTATTTAGAAAAAACTGAGCAGTTAATTCAAATTATTTTTTATGTCTGTGAAGGCACTTTATGAAAAGATCAAGAAAGTAGAAATTGCCACATTCTAGAGGCAAAAGTGTCTATGTTTGGTAACTGGAGCATATATTTTTGAACTTAGATGCTTAAGAGTCACACAGGTTCATCCTCTGTCTGATCCAGTAAGCTTACCTCTGTATGTCAAAATGAGTTTATTTTTCTCTGGCTCCCATCTGGTGGTCTCTTCCATTTTCCTTTAAACCGCAGCTCACTGGCTCATGCACACCCAGGATGACGGCTCAAATTCAAGCGCAAATTAT